CTGCTAAATACAAGTCCCAGGCAGACAAGAAGCACAGACAGGTAGACTTCACGGTTGGAGATTATGTTTGGGCTATCTTAACCAGGGATCGTTTTCCTGCCCACGAATACAGTAAGCTGGCTGCCAGGAAGATCGGCCCCGTGGAAGTCATTGAAAAGATTAATCAGAATGCCTACCGTTTGCAACTTCGTAGCCATATCCACACATCCGATGCTTTTAATGTCAAGCATCTCATTCCTTATTCTGGTGATAATTCTTCTGACGATGAGGCAACTTTTGATTCGAGGGCAAATCTCCTCCACCCTGGGGAGAATGATGCAATGCAACGGGAGTGGAATTTCATGGCCCAGTTGGAGCACCCAAAGGCCCAAAAGAGCTCGGTTTGACCAGAAAACGACCTTTTTCATTTTTAAGGGTTATTTTTACACTTTTCAATTATGTAAGGACCTTTGAGGCAATTTTCGTTAGGTTTTGCATGGGGATTTCATTTATATGGTTTTGTTTAGCCCTAAGGAGAGGCATAAAAATAATAAGAAGAAAATAAAATCTTTGATTGAGGATTTCTTCAGTTTTATTCAATTCCTCGGTATTCTTGTGAATCAACGAGTTTTGAATTGAAATTCTCGTTTCCCCTGCGTACGCTGCATCATATACATTTGAGTTATGGTTTGAGATGAGAATTTTTTTGAGTTTGTGTTTGGGTGGGTCAAAACTGGAGTTTGTATTTAGATAACATTTTAATTAAAACTCAATGATGATGGAAAATTTTAATAGGGTATATGGGTGAAGTTTTATTCGTCTCTTCGTTGTGAATAGATAAAAAAAAATCTTAATCAGAATTAAAACGAAAAAGTTATAACGTTTTTAAATATAGAAAAAATATTGTTCAGTAACTTGAGTTTGAGTTTAAGAACTTAAGTTAAAGGGAAAACTTGAACTCAGATTTAAATCCTAAACTTAAGTTAAAATTCAAGTTCAAACTCAAATTTTATAAAAAAAAAATATGAACTTAAATAAAATTATAACTTGAGTTTAATTTTTTTTTTTTTTTAAGTTTTATGTGAACAAGCCCGTTGAGTGTCACTAAAAAAAAATAATGTAGAGTTTCAACTTTTTATGTGTAATGGACATGTGCCTTTTCCTGTTTTTCCTCTTTTGCGGGATTCAGACTAAGCTCATTTTTTTACGTTATCTATCAGGTAATTAGTACAAAGTGATTAAATACCCCTTTTGGTATATTATTTAGCAAATCGCCAAATCCCACAACGTCAAACCCACTTTTCGTATTCCAATTTTGGAAAGAAGATTAAATTATAATAATTTTTGTTGCAGCACCCGAGACAGCAATGAAAACTTAAGGAGTGTTCCTACATACTCTACCAAGTACCAACAAAAGAAGCAATATTTGCATGACAAAAAACAAAAGAAACCATATGTATATTTGTTTGAATAATGTCACACTGTTCTCCTAACTTTATTTAACAGGAAAAAGGAACTATTTAAGGCCATAAACAACAACGATTGTTACAACCAGATAACAACTAAAGTGATTGAGAAATGATTATCGAAAAACTTCCACTTTTCTGTTCTTATCAATATTTTATACCTAGTGAATTAATAAAGGTGTCTATCTTTATAAGCATATATATAGCCGACAATTCTAAATCTATTTCACATGAAAGAATTTGCATATATATATATATATATATATATATATATATGATTTGAGAGCTCGGAGTTAAAAATCATTTGCCTAGTTAAACAAAGTCATGCACATGGGATGCCACTGAACAATACGGTGATATGATAACCATATGCGTCTAATACATAATATATATATATTATATTATATAATATATTATGTGTATGTTGTATCTATATATCATGTTGTGCAAGTGACTCGTCACTGCATCCACAGTCCATGAAGATTCTTACGGAATCCCAGTAAGGGGATAGGTTTGCTTTTTTTTTTTTTTTAAAAAAAAATCATGTATTCAAGTTTTTGGCTTCTTCTTAGCATTTGTTCCTCACAAAATAAATAAATAAATGCATGCCTTCATTCATACATGTTTGTTTTTTCCTCTCTTTTCACTTCTTTTTGCCTCATTTATGCAATCAACCATGGCTTAGCATAGTATTTGCTTTTGCGAAAGCTTATTAGTTCGAGGCATGTATTCTCTTCTGCTGTCATGTGGCTTTGGTTATAATCATTGTTCTTCATTGGCCAAAAAAAGCGGCAAAAACACATTATGCTCACAAAGAATAAAGCTAGTCATAAGGATAAAACATCATAGGGGAAGAGATCTATTAATGATATTATTCAAAGACGCGGACGAAAATTTGGACCTGATCAGCAATAATTTAACGATGCGTCATCTTTTGAGATATGTCATTATTAATTTACTCTATTGCTTATAAATAGTGTAATTAACTCATGGTTTGTCGATTTGAGTTTTTAATTCAAGTTGAGATGTGATTTTAAGTGAGAGCTTTTACTATAGTAAAAAAGTTAGACGTGACTGTTTCCGAGAGTTTTTTTTATTGCAGTAAAACTCGAATATGTGAAATGAACAAGGAGTCTCGATGAGTCTATGTGGTTGATTTTGACAGGCGGGAAATAAAAAATGTGATTAATTATGATCACTTTTATCTTTTGAAAAGGTGATTATGATTTAATCATGGAGTCAACTAATTAGATTTAGATAAGAGAAGTTAATTAAAGGAAACGTACACGAATAATGGTGGGTCCGAATTCTTCACACTTTCAACTGGTCTATGCGCCACAAAAGGGAAACCCCACCTATAATTTATATTTTATATCTTAGCAATCCTCCATATAATAAGTTTGAAAGATAGCTAGCTAGCTCTATCTGATATGATCTAATCTGCAAAATTAAATTTAGCTTAAGGAGTTGGATGGCACCAACTGGATGAAATACAAAAGGTGGGGTGTGAAATAATTGATGTTTCTCACCGCACTAATTTTGTGGTTCAACTCAAAAGACAAAAGGGTAGTACTTTTATTGCTATGTGCTTTTGCACAAGCAATTGCAAATAACTTATTAATTGGATTTTGAATTAATCCCATTTAAACTCATCTGTTAGAACTTTTTGTTAAAAACAGATGAAAATATTAAGGAATTAAGTGAAGTTATTTGGGTTTTTTTTTTTCCGACTTAAATTCTAATTAATTAGGTCAGGTGAAACTATTTCTTCTCTTTTTTTGAAAATATTAAGGAATTAAGTGAAGTTATTTGGGTTTTTTTTTTCCGACTTAAATTCTAATCAATTAGGTCAGGTGAAACTATTTCTTCTCTTTTTCTGAAAACATTAAGGAATTAGGTGAAGTTATTTGGGTTTTTTTTTTTCAACTTAAATTCTAATCAATTAGGTCAGGTGAAACTATTTCTTTCTCTTTTTCTGTTTTTCTTTTTTTTTTAAACATAAACTCGAACAGAATTGATTAGTGAGACTAATTTAAAATTCATGTAAATTTTTAAATTTAAGAACTAAAATGAGAATGACCTTAAAATTAAGAGGAGGAAAGATCGATTCTTATCAGTTTATTAATTCCTCATTAGTGGTATCTCTTTATTTATTTGTATTATGTTCCTTGGCATGCCTCTCCTCGTGCTTCAACAAACATCTTCTGCTCCCTTCCCACATGTGTGTATTATTATGGTAATTTTGGCCGACAAAATATCGCCTTTTTTCTAGTCTAATCGATATGCCACTATATATGGAGGTAAAGTGTTATTAGGGCTGAGTCAAGTTGATGCTTTTTTTTTCCCTCTTCTAATTCCTTCAAATCCCCTACTCGTAAATAGGGGCATTTCAACAAGTTGATTATGTACATGCAAGTATATATCCTTTATAAAGGTGCTCCCTTTTTTCATCAAACGGTATGGAAAAAATAGTGGAGTAGAAGGGTTGTGTGAGTACATTTTTTGTTATCTAGCTAGGCTTGGGAAAATTCTTCTCAATCCTTTAAAAAGTAAAAGGTAAAAAAGAAGAATTTGGTCTAGGCTGGGCTCACAATTAATACACAGATTGATACACATATCACTTCTAAGCTCTATTTTTTCGTCTATTCTTTATTAAATTTTAATTTTTGCAGTAGATTACTTTTTTTTTTCTTTTTTTTTTTTTGCTTGAGGCTGTAGATTACTTTTAGAGCTCAAAGTTGGCTTAATGGGGCGTGTTGTGTGGAAATGACAGGTTATGATGCTTCATTGAAGCCAACCCAACCGACCTCTTGATGTGGGGAAGAAATAATCTATCGATTTTGCTTCTTTTTTTTTTTTTTTTTTTTTTTAAATGCGACTGTACTAGGGTTTCAACTTAACAAGTGAGTTGCCATTTACATATTGATAGGTAGAAGTTTTAAATACCAATTGATGTGTCAAATTTTAATCACCTAAAAATGAAAAATAATAACAACTTGTATCTTATATGGGACAAAAAATAGAATCTCTTAGCACTATTTTTTTTTGACATATTGCAAAATTTTACGAACCATGTTGAAATACAACAAAACTTTTTATATATTTTACAAATATCAAAATTTTATATCATTAAAATTATAATATATGCTAAGTCATACTTGCTATTCTTCAAATACTTTTCGAAATGTTTCAACTCTGCTCTCGTAAATTTTCCATCTAGTATAATTTTTTTACCTTTTTTTTAAGGCGAAAAAGCTAGAAATCCGGGAGATTTTTTTATGGTGTGGGATTTAGCATGTTAATGTTTCTTCTTCCCCATAGCTAAGTACATGTTTATGTTATGTATCAACATGTACTTCAGATGTAGTTCGACAATCTTTCAATCCGCAATTACTGTTTTTGCACTCAGGTGATCATGCCCGCGGAGCAGTTGGAAACGCAAAACATGAACAAAATCCAATACCATACAAAACAGAAAAATGCAGAAATAAACCTTCATTAGTTGAAGGCAAAATATAAAAGAATTAAGAAAGTGAAAAAAAAAAAAGAAGGATAAATCAATCAAAAGCCTACACCACTTTACAATAAACTTTGGTTTTTAATGTGTAAAACATATATATTCGTTTTTATTAAATAAATGCATCCCATGAAAGTCAACCCGCCCCTAAAAACACATCCAGGGTCTTCAGCTAACATATCAGGTTCACATCCTCATTATAGTTCCAAAGAAGTCACAGATAGCAGTTATGGGGAAGTTGGGTTAGAGTTTCTGGATAACAACTGAATTAGCAAGACCAGCCTGCTCTATGGTCTGAGTTCGGTCACTAAGAAGCTTGGGAGGGAATCCCATCATCTGCAACTGGTAATTTCTAGGACCTCCGGGTCTAGATGCATCGATGAAGGCATGGATATCGCCAATGGTATGGTGGTAATTAAACTGTCCGATCAAGCGGGTTCCGTCAGCCATCCTAAGCTGAATTGAGGTTGATGGCAGTGCTTCATCCACAACCACGTTCACCAATGGGGCTGGAGCAGTGGAAGCCGTGGTTGGCTCAGGTGCAACTGAGGAGGAGCTACTACCGAGAGTTCTTCCCACACCCTGAAATGGTACTTGGCGATTCTCTGGCTCCTGCAAGCACCAGGAAAAAAAAAAAAAAGGAACAGCAAGCGGTAACATTACATTCATATTCTCATTTCCACCGTGAAGAAAGGCCAATAGAGACTGAATCTTTAGAAACTCGATAACATATGATTTCATAAGAAGCAAAGGAATGATATAATAACAGAATAAATAGAGAACTCACGGGGCAATTTTCATTCCTCCGAATCAGATTGACATGAACTGCGGTCCTCCCATGACCATCTGCAGGTTCTAGCTCTGCTGGACACCGAGACTTCTTGATACTCTGCATCAAGAAATTAGAAAATAAACTACAGTATCAAATGAAGCAAAGAGAGTGGTATATATATTCCTAAGCAAATCTTAACCACTTGAATATTACACATGCATTTTCATCAGTAAGATCTTCAGCAGAATCATCATATTAACTGATCAACAAGCGAATCATGATTATGCAAAATGAATACACTAATCAACGGCAGAAAATTATAGGCACCATCCATCTCAATCACAAGGCTTCATTCCGTTTATTTGAGATCAACACAATACCGATAATACCTCTAAGAAAGATGCATTTTCAGGATCGTCCAACCTCCTCAAAGGACCATCGTTCACAGTAAAACCATTGCCCCAGAAAACAATGTTGTGTATAACAGGCTCAGGCTGCTGAGGAGAAGATTGAACAGTTTCCCCTGAGAGTAATCTACCAGTTCCAGTAAAGCTCCTTGAGCCTGAAGGTGGAAGAGCAGGCCCTTCTACAGCTCCCAGTTGCTTAGCTTGATCAAAGATTGCATCCACATTATTATCCTTCGAAGGATCTTGAACGAGCATTCCACTGCCAAAATAAAAAAGGAAATCACCATATTATCTACCTACAACTGTTTTCACAAAGTGAAAAATGGTATCTAATATCATCCCAGTTTTACATAGATTTCAGTCAGCAACAGATCAGCTGTAAATGTTGAGGGAAGAAAAGTGGTCAGCGTGACATACCTTTTCTACCCATATGGTATAAACCGTCTAAGCACCTAACAAAACATATCTATCTCATAATAAACACTTAGGCAGTTGAATAGCAGTTAAAATGAGCTCAACCAGAATCGACAGCCTCGCTAAAGCTTCTCTTCTAGGAAAATAAAGTGGCCATAGAGATTAAATGGGCGGTTTGTGCAATTTTTCAGGAAAGATCCAAATAAGCTAAAAAAGTAACCAATTGAGACTCACAAAACAATACATAGAGTCCATTGCACTTCCATTCCGGAAAATATCCTGATTCAGATCTTCTAGCTCTCTCTTTCTAGATAGCTCTTAATTGAACCTTCTAATCCCAATCAATTCTTCAACTTCATCAGAGGATTCATATGCTATAACACCTCCTAAGAATAAAATATGGTGACCTGATCAGATAGAATCCAAAACACAACACTTGTCCTAAACAATAAACAATTCTTCCGATTCCAATCAAAATCAGTCCCAACAACTCGGAAAATTTCCATACGCTTAAACTTCAAATTTAACAGTCTATAAATTCACTACTGATTCTCTCAATTTCTCTCCTAAAACGCATAATTTCAAAAACCCTTCCATTCCCCAATATTCTCAGCAGCCAAACATCGGAAAGTAAACACTAAAAAACACAGAAACTCCAACTTATACAAATACAGTTGAAATTAACAGATTTTCGCGAACCGGAATACAGAAATTACAATATTGAGAAGAAAGAAATGCTAGGGTTTGGAAGAAAAGGGACCTTTTTTCGCCGCCAGTGTAGTACTCCTGAGGCCCATCGGAATCGCTGTCGGAATCCGCGGAATGGCGATTCAGATCGGAGAGTGTGCGAATACCGCCGCTTCGACTGGTCGAGGCCTTTGAAGCTCTCTTGTCCTTTGACGCCATTGATGATTTCTTCGCGACTCAACACACCAACAACCAAAGAGAAAGAAAGAATAAAAAAAAAAGAAAAACACGATCTTTGAAATTGATTCTTCACTTTCCTCAGCTCATCAGTTTCGTATTATTATTAATAAGGAATCCACGCGCGTCCGCGATTGCTGCCACGCTCCTCTCCGTGTACACGTCACCTTATCCTTTGTTTTTGCTATTTTTAATGAGTTTCTCGGTATGACTGAAAAATGTAAGTAGTTTTATTTTTTTATCTGTTTTTAATTATTAAATATATATTATAAATTATTTATTTATGTGTTTTTTAATTTTATTTAATTTTAATTAAATTTAACGATTAAAAAATTAATCTTATAACGGTCTATTAAAGACAATTTCTTATTAATATATTAAAAGAAAAAAAAAACAAAAATAAAAAGATCGCTAATAATGTGATAACAGTGGATAAATTGTCCCTTGGCATTTTCTTTGTTTAATTTTAGATGACCAATAGATTTTCAACGCATAACTTTACGTGTAAATTGAATATTTAGTCAACTATTTCACGGGAGACAATAGATTTATCGACTGATTTTACCTTACCTACCACTCCCCACGACGAGGGAAAAAAATTTATGCTGAAAGACAATCAATATTCTGCTTGATGGAAAGAACATGATACAATAATGTTGAATGATAGCTTAAGAAAATATGACATGTAATTATTTGAAATTATCAGGGGTTGTGCAAGTTATTAAAAAATTAATCAATATACAATTATTAATTATTTATTTTATCATCCCATAATAAGATTACATTGAACCCTTTCCCTTTCATTTTCCCTTGTCTTTCAACTAAAAAATGTAATACAAGCCCGTTTCCTTCCTCATTCACAAACTCAATTTCCTTATGATATTTAGAGGGTCCGTTTAGTTCGCTGATTCGAGTTAAGATGTAATTTTATATGAAAATTTTTTTATTGTAATAAAAAAATTAAATGTGACTGTTTCTGATAACTTTTTACTGTAATAAAACTTAGGGCTTGTTCTTTTGAGTGAAAAACTCAAAAAAATGCAACTCGAGTTACAACTTTATTCGAATTCATGTTCTTTTAAGTTTAAACTCGAGTTTAAGACTAAAACTCGAGTTCAAGTTTCCCCTTCAACTCAAGTTCAGAAACTCGAACTCAAATTAATGAACAGTATTTTTTCTATTCTTAAAAATGCTATAACTTTTTCGTTTTAATTCTGATTTAGATGATTTTTTTTTCTATGCATTGACAACGAAAAAACGAATAAAACCCGACCCATATACCTTATTAAAATTTTTCATCAGCATTGAGTTTTTATTAAAATACTATCTAAATACAAATTTAAGTTTTGACTCACTCAAACACAAACTCAAAAAGATTTTTATCTCAAATCATAACTTAAATGTACACAACTAAACACAAACTCAAGTTACAAGTTCAACTCAAGTTATAACTCAAATTCAACTCAAAAATTATATTCAAATTAAACTCTAAAATAATAAACCCTTAAATTTTAAACTCGAATAAGTAAAGTAAATGAACGGAGTCTCAATTTTAACTTATTTGCCTCGTTCGTTTCGCTGATTCGAGTTTAGAATTCGAGTTTTGCTACAGTAAAAAGCTCTCACAAACAATCACATCTAACTTTTTTGCTACAGTAAAAAGCTCTCACATACAATTACATTTTAACTCAAATTTTAAACTCGAATCATCGAAACGAACGAGGCCTAAATTCTCCTTTATCTGCCATTCAAGATTGGAAGGAGCCACAGAACCGCTAAGGTGTCCTATGATTGATTTGGCTTATTCCATAGTAAAATATTTTATGGATGTTTGTTTAGCAAAAATAATAATAATAATAATAGTGGATGTGACTGATATAACAAATGCTAATGTCACATTCCATCGGGAATCTCATATAACAAAATATATATACTGTTTTTTTTTCTTTTAAAATTTTTCTAATATTGATTCGTCCTTTTTTAAATATTAATATCTATTGTTTTTGACGATTATATTTTCATTGGTATGACTTGAAATTGTAGCAGTTTTGTGCTGTGCATGTAAATGTTTATTGTGTAGCTAACAGTTAAAGAGAAGTCCTCGTAGAAGTTCCCATTTCTTTTTGTAAGGGTTAAAGTGGGATTTAGTTTATTGAAAAAATAGTTATTTTGTTATCTTTTCTATTTTTGATAATTTGAAGTCAAAATTAAGTGTAAAAAAAGATATAGATTTGTGTATCAAATCATGGCATTTTTTGCCGTGAGACTCTAAAAAAACTCTACTAATAGAACTCTTACTTTTGATTGTTGAATTAATTTTTCAACAGTCAGATCTATAATATAAATAGTTTTATTTAGCGCGCTATAAATTTTTAATATGAACATGTACAGATCTAGCCGTTAAAAAATTAATCCAATAATTAAAAATAGGAGTTTCACTGGTGGGGATTTTTTTGAGAGGTTCCACCGTAAAAGTTACCTTAAATAAGATTATATCACATTTTGATAAATAATGTATATATCACACCACAAAGGGGATTCTTTAAAGTAGAACTCTAATAAGTGCTCCACCAGTGAAGCACTATTTTTTTAACCGTTTGATTAATTTTGTAATGGTTAAAATTGTGCAAATCTATATTAAAAATTTACAGCACATCGCACATAACTGTTATTGTTGTAAATGTGACCGTTGAAAAAGTAATCTAACGGTAAAAAAATAATGCTCCACTGGTGACCACTTATTAGGGTTCCACCTTAAAGAATCCCCACAAAAAGGTAAATAATTAAAAAATGAATCTATGGAAAAAATAAATTGAAGAATTTTAGCAAAATAAAAAAGAATACATAGCTCTGGTGTATAGTGAAATTTATTGGACATATTGAACTCGTTTAGTTCACTGATTTAATTTTTTAATTTAAATTAAAATGTGATTTTATATAAATTTTTTTAATCATAATAAAACAATTAAATGTGATTATTTTTAAAATTTTGTTATTATAACAAAAACTCAGATTTTAAATTCCAAGGAACCGTCGTTAACAAAAACTCTTCGCCGATAAATTTAAAATTCGAGTTTTGTTATAGTAAAAAGCTCTCAAAAATAATTACATGTAACTTTTTTACTACAATAAAAAACTCTCACATAACGTTAAACTTCACTTCAAATTAAGAACTCAAATCAACGAACTAAACACCCATAATACCTCCCTCGTAGTTTATGACTTCCCCCTTTGACGATTTTGACTTCGGAGTTCACATTAGAAATTTGGACCAGTCTCTCTAAACTCTCCCTAAAGCATCTTATAAAAGAGACGGACAAAAATCTAATGACATAATTTTTTTGTTTTCTTTAAAAAAGAGAATTTCAGCGATGTCATACCAGACCGCTCGAACCGGACGGAACCGGCGCGAACTCAACGACGAGAACCGTCTAAAGTACGCCTTCGACGCCGGATTCTCATCCGGTGGTGGGCACCCTCACGATAGTCCCCAAACTCCCGACTTCGACGCCGTCGACTCAGATGATCCTCCGAGTTCGGACCCGGAGAGCTTCAATGGTAAGTCAACGAGTTTGATCGGCCTGACGGCGAGCCTCCGCGTGCTATCGGATTCACTGATGAGAATGGAGCGAGCGGAGGTGGAGATGGCCAAGACGAGAGAGGCTCTCCGGCTGCAATCGGAGACACGGCGGCTCGAGTCGGAGGCCGAGATGACGCAGATGCTGCTGCGGACGGAATTGCAGATCGCCTCCCTCGTTTCGCGGCGGAATCCGAGTCGGAAGAGGAAGCGAGTCGAAGAAGACCAGACAACATCGCAACTTTCCCAAAGGTAATTGAGTCCATTTCTCGCGAAAATCAAAACTCCGCCCGGTCTTTACGACTCACTGAGTTGGTTCGTTGTTGATGTCGTGCAGGGAAGGATCTTTGCTCTTAAGTTTAATCCAGTGCAATTTGCTGTTTTAAAGCGTTTTAAATACTAATCTACCGGGTACGCACGCAATTTCATAATAATGTTTCGATTTCATACTTCTAATACATCATTGTCATTTCTTCTCATGCATGAATATTTATGACGAAAACAGAGATCGTAGAAGAACAGTCGTATTCAGTTCTACTGGTGAACTAAACCATGAAATGGAGCTTTCCTTCTTAATAAATAATTGTCGTTTTACATTTTGTATGGGAAACTCGCTATTCATGTGAAAAAACAAAAACTATGTAAGAACATATTTGTAACATGCAAAACTGACGCTAACTCGGTAATTCTCATCTCTTACTGGGTGTTTGGTATTATAATTCAAATCACGGTTCGTGACTCGCTATAGTATTTTTTTTTACAAAAAATACACGTGAACTGAGAATGAATATGTGAACCAAACGCTCACTATCCAACTTTGCGAGAAGGTAAACATATCACATCCGCAAAATTGGACTCGTATTTACGGCTAAACTGAACCTAGGTACTAAATATATGAAAAAAAAAAAAATTGTGTCAACAGGACCAGTCTTTAATCAACAACCACTTGAGATTTCTTTGTGCCGGACCTAATTTTTGCGTTGGAAATGCTCGACAAGCCCTTCCGTCGATTGACTGCGCTTTCTATGTATTCTTTCAGAGGCGGAAGAAGGCCGTGTTCCCCATCTGTGGATGCTTGTTCTCGAATGATCTATCAAAGCCATGTGGTTTATGTTGTTAACAAATTAAGTTATGTATGAGAGAATAACACAAGCTGATTTTCTTACCTTTGATGCCCAAGACCTCTCAGCTTGCTGACACACATCTCTAATATCCCTTCCGGACATTCTGGACATGGCAAAAAAAAAACCCCACAACACATCAAAACGTCAGTATAAACAATTGCATAAACGGTGCGTTGATGCTTAAGAAGAGAACTAAGTAAGGGGCATTATTAGTTCCAACTTTAAGTTAATACTTGTCTTCTCTTTCATGTGCTTAAGTCTAAAATCATGGAAATTCAAAACATCACCGCCTCTGTGGCGCAAGTTTTAAATATCTCGATTTTTTTTTATTTAAGAAAAAAAAGGTTGAAAAATATCTGAAAAGCATACGCCAAACTTACTCATCTGTAACTGCAGCAAGTTCATCTAATTCGGATTCGGGCAAGTGCTTTGCATACTGAGCCGCAATTTCCTGACGAGTTGGCCGATCCGGTAAACCGAATGTGATCATCGAATCAAACCGACTGAAAGAATGTTGAAGAAGTTATGAATTAAGAACAGAATCATCTAGGAATACACTCGTTTTCACACAAGCCATATATTAGCCCATGTACCTAATTAAAGCAGGATCCAGGTCTTGCTTTCTATTTGTAGCAGCTATTACAACCACTTTTTTGTCCTGCTCGAATCCATCAATCTGCAAGGAAAAAGAATAGCAAGTTCATCAATATTGATTCTGATCATTCAAACTCGTTGCTAGAATTTCTTGTTAGGAAAATCACTTTTCCTATATAAAGTGTGGGCCACGTATTATTATAACAATTATATTAAGTTATTTAATTAATTAGACCAATAAAGTGGTCTGTTTAGGAAAGCCTAAAGAGACTTCTAACAAGATATAAGATAAATGAGTGGATACTCAATACTTATCCGATAAGGTTTAATGAGATAAGTGTATAAGGACTTATAGGTTATGGTCCTCAATATGTCAAATCATTCAATCGCTTTCTCTTCTTTCTCATCTAGAGAAAAACACCTCATTAAGGAACTCTGATGATTTGATTGAAGAAGACAATAACCGGTTTGCCAATCGTTGTAGTAATTCCACAAAAGTGTCGATTGTTGCTATTATGAATTCATGTACCCTTCCTTGATTTTCTTGGTAATTTAGCATGATGGTTCTTAGGATTTATGAATATGATGATTAAAATCATATTTATAATTAAAGTCTTAACATTTTTAATCTGCCTAGAAAGCAAGTCTGACTCGGAAACCTTTTTTCAGTGCAATCACAATGGCAACTCCAAATTTTTATTGAGGATTATTCCAAACATATTAGCCAAAAAAGATTATGTTAAAACATCAAAGAAAGAAAGCACCAAGCGCTTGATTACAAGGACTCCTTCACGTAAGGACATTCCTTCTGGATCAAGTTTTGTATATCCGGGTTATTGCAAATTACTGGTTTCGGAATTTGTTGGGGGTGAAGTAAAAATTCTTGTCGAGTATAATGCTCAAAATCTTTAAAAGGTGCAGGGATTCGACAAATAAAAACCATAAATCCTTATGCATCTGCACACATACTCAATTTTATATGAGATATGTAGACTTGTGAATTTCACATACTTCTCAACAAGAAAGTCCAGACACTTTACTTTCAGGTGAGAATTCCTTCTACCACAATGGTTTGAAAAAAAAAAAAAAAGAAAGAAGATATGCTCTGAGACTTGCGGTAAAGAAATGGAAAATCCTAGTTTTACCTGTCTCAATAACACGGACAATACTCTGCGTGTAGCTTCATGCATTTCACCATCACGAGCAACAGCAAAAGAATCCACCTATAATGTTGTAACAAGTTAAAGTACATAGGAATGACAGGAAAAAGTATTTCAGCAATCACATAAACCATAATAACCAAAGCATGACGGAGAAAAATAACATGTCATCATTAAAAGATTAAAAAGCAATAAGTCATAACATTAGAGGTGGGTAATCAAACGCTCTAGAGAACAAAATCTCACCAGCCATAAAGGAAACTATTATTGCTCCAATTACCTCATCTAAGAAAATGATAGCACCATCAGGGAGGTCATTGGCAAGTGAAAACACTTTTGCTAGCAAGCGTTCACTCTCTCCATAGTACTTTGACATGACAACTTCAAGGGGAACGTACAACATTGGGATACCCTGCCCAAAAAAAAGTGAAAAGAAATGTGATTTATCCTAAGATAACAACAAAATCAAACCAAAAAACGAGATTATTTAAGGACTCAAAACATTGTCACATCACTTGTATATCAATGCCGTAAAATCCCGAGCACATCTAAGCGGGGGAAAAAAAAAAGAAAAAAAAAAGAGAGAATAAGAAGAAAATTAAGATATACAAATAGAAGTTCCTAGTGGCTCACCCCTTGGCTAGCAATGACACGAGCAGAAGATGTCTTTCCCGTACCTCACAATGGAAACACGTTAAGTACGCTACCCAAACATCAAATCCAATAATGCTAGAGTATGAGATATTTTAGCACAATTGTCACTGAACTATAAGTTCCATTGTCAGGGAAAATCGTTTGAGATATTTTAGTACAATTGTCACTAAACTATAAGTTCCATTGTCAGGGAAAATCGTTTGAGATATTTTAGTACAATTGTCACTAAACTATAAGTTCCATTGTCAGGGAAAATCGTTTGAGATATTTTAGTACAATTGTCACTAAACTATAAGTTCCATTGTCAGGGAAAATAGTTCAATAAATATAGTGTGGAATTTGAGAAAGAGGGGAGGGTAGGGGGCAGGCTGAACAACTGACGACACAACTTTTAAATAGCTGTCAGTGTTCCAAAAACTACTACTCTCTCCCTCTCCCTTTCTTACCAATCCAACAACCAGTACAGAATAGCGGTTAATCCTATGCTAAAACCTGCCTCTCCACCCTTTGACCTTGCTTGACTAATGATCCCAAAGCTTAAGATACCCTTTTTCTATTAGTAAAAATCCTAGTGCCAGTAGTCCATAAGGCCATTGGTGATAAATCTTTTGATTTAATTGTTTTAGATCAAGAAAAATTATATTAATCTGGCAGGTTAATCTGTTACAGAAATACATTACTTTTTTCCTTTCGTTTTGGTCAATTCACAAATAAATTATTGCCAAGTATACATGAGGCATACCTGGTGGGCCTTCAAAAAGTACAGCTCGAGGTCTGTTTGACTCGAACTTACTTCGGGTTCCTCGAGCAATATCATCATATATTTCAGGATTCTGCAGAGCCAATAATATGGTATCTTCTATTTCTCTACAGATAAGCAGAACCATTTGAAAATAAGTTAGATAAGCACTTTCACAGAAATATATGAATGCGCTCACACTTGATACCAGTCAAGATGCACACAAGTAGACAGCACAAAAATGGAAAATGCATGAGAACTAATTAGATACCAAAATCACGTTCACTCTTCACAAAATTGCGTGACAGAAATGAAAATGTTAAGATTCAAAAATTAAAAAAAAGAGAGGCAAATAGCAGCCATACTTAGGTAGCCAGCGAAAGAAACAGAATAAACTAACACATTACACATAGCACTGCACACTTTTTGCGGCTTGCTTAGCCTATATTTCATCATGCACATATGCAATTGCAACCAAAACATATTTCATTAAGAATAAGACATGTTCAAGAAGAAAAAGGACTGCCTTCAATTTACTCTTTTCCTGCCAAGTTTGAACCAATCTTGATTCCATAGGTACTCAATAAATGAACTACTAAAATAATGTTCTGAACAGAAGTACTGAAGAGTTAGAGAACATAAATGCACAGGGTAATTTCTCCCATATACATACGACCAATGGGAAAGAGATGGAGTATGTGGACACAAAGATCCCAAGTACTCAACATACCTCTTTTGCTGATGATACCCAGCAATATTTTCCCATGATATTTCATTGTTAAAGGAATTCAAATGGGGTTCATCAAGGCCATAAACTCTCACTCCCATGGACTCGAGACTAGAAACTGATGTATCCGCAGAAGGCATTTGTTTTCTCTCTGAGGTATTATATCCTTTTAAGTTTAACTTTTCCCCTGCCAATTGCAAAACAGAGACAAAAGCATCAAGCTCTTTTGCGCTGAAGCTGCCTTGCTTTATAAATTCAAGCTCCTGCAATAATTAATGCAAATGGATGAGAATTATCACAATCCAAAAGTCTGTTAGACTGTTATCACTGAGATGCAAGAAAATAAAAGTGATTCAAATGACTGAAATGGAGACTAACGGCTTTATCTGCAGTAACAAGTGATCTGAATATGACGATGCACAAATCCCCCTCTCCTTCATTCCCTCCAGTTTCCTTTTGTTTGTCCGGCTGAGTAAGTGTTAGTTGCCAGGATATTGCACTGAAATAGTTCATGAAAAACACAAATTACCACGAAGGACATTTTAACCAAATCTAAAAACTCAAAGGTAATAAGGAAATGACTCAAACAAATAAAAGAATATTGCAAACTGCATAAATTAAAAATGAATACTTTAGCATGAATCAAAAAGACAACTCAAAGACACCAAGAAACTATGATCTGATTGTAACCTGTCCCAAGCGCGCACTAACATATCCGACCCTCCACCACGTTGTTCAACTTTTAACCCAAGTTGTGAAACAAGGTTTGCAATCAGCTGTGAAACTTCACATGCAGAAGGGATCTGGAACTTGACAGAGACCTATATTGCACCGTAAACTTCTATGAGTACTATTTGAAGAGAAATTTCATGAACATATATAAGAGATGATTTTCTTAACATCATATTCAAAGTAGAACAAAATTATCAACCTCACAGAGAATCAAAAGTCAAAACAGAAATGTTTCTGATTAAAGAATGTTTCCCTGTTAGCTTCTCATGGATTAAAAAAAAATATCGCTACAAATGGCCAAAGTGCATTGGTCAATTCAAAATCATGTTGAAAGAATTATACAAAAAATTTTCTAACAAACTCGAACAAAGTGCAAGTCATATATAGTGGATAATCAACAATGTAGCCTTTTGGAAAAGCATGTCCATAACCTTTTGGCCCTTAATGGCAATGGTAAAGCGGGGATAAGAGCCATGCCGTATTCCTTTAGCCTTAAGCAACTCTTCAATTCGCTTCCGCTCCTTCTTCGCCACTTCCTCCAAGTCCACAAAACTTGCAGGAGATTCTGATGGAGAAGGTCTTCCAGTAGGCTGCATAAAAATAAAGCCATTGCAGCTTTGACATTGAATATATATATATATATATATATATATATATACATCATTTTGATTTTAAAAGGACTAAAAATATCACTGAAATTTTCCAAACCATTTCATTTCGAAATTCGAATCGAATACTTAGCAAGAAATCAGCCATGGTAAATGCACAGGTACCTCCTCAGCATCTGCATAAGCTGTTTGGAGTCCTTCAACTCCTGATAAACTAGCTAACAAAGCTGGAAGTATAAAATACAGTCCACGACTGTTTCGTACAGACGTAGGCCACTGAATTTCAGATGCATTGTAATGATTCTGCTGCCGAACGGATCCTGATGAGTTTATTGACAATAAGAACAATAAATTTAAAAACTTTATGGTGAATTAATCATCAGAGAACTCGAAAAACTACCACGAGAAAAGGAAATCAGTCCCAAACGAGACAATTACGAAACCGTGTGATTTCCGCAAATGAAAGGAGTTTAAACAAAGAAATGTTAAATTCATGAAATTTGAGAAAAAGGAGACGTACGGAGATCTAGAAGGCGAGGATTAGGAGTGTTGCGAGAAAGCAGAACCGGAGGAGGGTTTAGGGTTTTAGAAGAGGTGATTGTTTTAAGTGTCCGAGAAGCTTTGACCAATCGCCCTAACACGCCCATACTGTCTCTGCGCCTACGAATGATGGATTCTCAACTCTCTCTCTCTCTCTCTCTCTCGGCTTTTTTAGTCTTTGCAAGAGTGGCGCGCAAGGCACCGCCGTATCAATTATCAAATCGGCAAACGCCGAAGTCGGTGTCTTGGTATATTTATATAATAGGTATTATATATATATATATATATTTTTTGGGTACGATCTTTCGTAAACTTTTAAAAATTTTCGGTAATTCTCTTTTAATTCTTGAATTGTACAAATTGTAGCGCCTTATTCTCTAAACTTTTAATTTTAATAAATTACTCCTTAAAATTTTTATTGATCACTTTAATCTTGCACGATGAAATTAACAAATGACTCAGGAAATTTCTCAAAGATTGTGACATTACGACACATAGTAGTTAAAATTTTTACAGAGAGATTGAAATATACGAATTTAGTACATATTTCTATTAGATTTTTAATATTTTTATTAATATTTATGTAATTAATAAAATTATTTTAATGATTATAATATACATTTTTTTTTATATTTTTGTATATTTACTTATTTTTTATTTGATTTATAATTTTAGAAATCAAAACACCAATAAATTTAAACCCTCCTGGTCATCTTCAGAATTTTTTTCGATAATTATTCATTTATATATTTATTGAACGAATTTTTTTTATTATTTACATTTTAAGAACTCATAACTTACATTTATATTAAATACAAGCATGCGAAATATTGTGGAGAATATTTGACATTTAATGTAACATATCGCTCAGGTTTTTTTATTTAATGCAAAATACTTGAGACTTTACAAAAATAAAGAAGAATGCTATTGTTATCAATGTCGCCATTTGGTCAGGTTTAATTTTGTAAACTGAACATACACATGGCGGAAAAAATAAAACTCGCGATATATTTCTCGTAAAATTGGGAACAAAAACAAACCAAAAAGGTTTCAAAAGTTTCAAGCCTGACCCATGTAAAACAAGAAAAAAAAAAAAAAACCATAAACATGGGATAATACATTTTTAACAGAAAATTTTAAAAGAAATACTTTTTGAAATTTACAGGTACAAGAAAAATCTAATCGTCAAAAAAAGAAAAAAAAAAAGAAAAAAAAAAAAGGAAAACGTGGGCCTGGTCCTCCGGCCCAGCTTTGGTGAGTACACATATGATCCATGTTTGCTGGTTCAATATCCAAATGACTAGTATGGTCTTTGAGCAATAAATGAACTAAAAATGGTGACCCAATGTTGTTAGAGGTACAAACTAAAGCTCACTTTTTAGTTGAAAGCGCTATTGCCCTTCAACAAACAGCTGCTTTTTTCTTTTTTTCTTTTTTTTGTTTTGGTTTTTTTTTCCTAAGCAAAAAAGTAAAAATAATAAAAAAAATGCCTTTTCTAGTTCCTTTTTCAACAGACAGCTTGAGAATGGCATGATAGTCTTCCAGTTTAATTGATCGAGTACTGACTAAATGAAAAATGAAACAGCCAATAAAATACATATAAATAAATAAAAGCAAAATGGTCTCATATTGGGTGGAAGAGTCTCTCTTGGTGTCTTTAATTCGAGTTTATATGATTTTATGTGAGAGCTTTTTACTGTAGTAAAAAAGTTAGATGTGATTATTTTTAAGAGTTTTTTACTGTAATAAAACTTAAATTTTAAACTCAAATCGACGAAATGAACGATGTCATGTTAGACCTTGTTTATGGAATGATTACCAACTGTGTGCCTGATTTATTTGGAACATCATGACTGCCTCAATGCCAAGAAGCTTGTGACTTTGATCAGGGCACTAAAAGACATAATTTCATTACATCATTTTAAAGATCAAAATGGCCATTAATAGTCTCACTGAGCAACACAGATCTTTTCTGTCCTTGCATTCAGATTATTTGAATTAAAATTAAAATTTTCATAAGAAAAAAAACACTATAATAAAACCAATTAAACCAGAATTTAAACTCCTTTATTAAACAAACACATGTTTTTAAAAATAATAATTAAGAAAAAAGCAAGGAAGTTCCCATTTATGTATCAGAGTCATCATTCATAGAGCTATACATAAACCCAAATATCCTGTAAACCCAACTCATTCCGCCCTAACTTAATCCCAAAAAAACAACTTATAACATTATTTTTTTATATATCAGTCCACTAAATGTCTAGTCCAAAATGTTTAGAGCGGTTTATGAATTATGCCCATAATAATCTGCACACTTGTCTTGTTCACTTTGGATTTAAATTTTTAATTTGAATTGAGACTTGACATTTTATGAAAATTTTTTATTATAACAGAAAAAATTAAATGTGATATTTTTTAAAAATTTTTTACTGTAAAAATTTAAAACTGAAACTTCAGGTGAAATGAACGAGATTTAAGTGAGGGAGGTTATGTTATGCAAGGAAAAAAGAAGTACCGAGTAAAAAGACAGTGACTCAGGCCTCGTTCGTTTCGATGATTCGAGTTTAGAATTTGAGTTTTGCTACAGTAAAAAGCTCTCACATACAATCACATCTCAACTCAAATTCTAAACTCGAATCATCGAAACGAACGAGGCCTAGATGTGATTGTTTGTAAGAGCTTTTTACTGTAGCAAAATTCGAATTCTAAACTCGAATCAGCGAAACGAACGAGGCCTCAGTGACTCACTGTAGCAAAATTCGAATTCTAAACTCGAATCAGCGAAACGAACGAGGCCTAGTGACTTAGTGACTTCAGGCGTTAAAGAAAGCAAACATCATTTTCCTGGCGGGTTGCACATGAACCTAAAAAAACTACACAAGTTGGCAGTTGCTCTTGAGACATCACAAATCACAAATTCAAAATAAACGACTTAGTCCATCGAGGAATGAAGCAAAAACCACTTCTTCACCCACTGTAACCTCACAAAGCAAAACCATTTTTTTAATATTACACGTAGAGCTAGAAAAGCACATATAAAAACCTCAATCAATAAACAAATCCAAGCGAATTACACAACATTCTTTAACATGTTAGACTGGCGAATCTACATTTGTAGTTAATTACATGTAGATTAAGGGGGGAAAAAAAAAAGAATACTTCTTTAAATAAGAGAGGTTGGCAAAAACATTAAAAAACCAGACTTTGGTAGTAACTTATATATATATAGATATATATACCAAAAGTGAAATAAACAACAAGAGGGGTTAATACTAATACACCTTCTTAGTGAAAAGACTACGCAGGTTAAAAAGATTTCCACCACCCCCGACACCAACACCACGGCCACCTGCACCGCCGCCACCGGGGTTTTTACCGACGCCTACGCCCCCGCTGCCGTCACCATTACCGATGCCTAAAGCGCTATTCTCATCACTCCTACAACTCAAATGGTTCCTGTACCCCATACACATCGGCACATTCAAATTCAACACTTTAGCCTTTGCCGCCCCGCCGCCGGCGCTGCCGCCTGCGGCGGCACCGGTGGGTTTAACCCGACTCTCGGATGCGTCTTTCTTTGCCGTCTTCTCCGCATTCCTCACCGGCGGATCGAAGCTTCTGGTGCCGCCCCGGCGGACCTGCCAAACCGGGCTGCTCCGTCCCAAATGGACCCCGGGCCGGCCCGGACTGCTAGGCCATTTCCTGGACTTGGACTCCCCAGCCGAGTTGCTCCGCGAACACGGCGCACTGTTCACCTTCCGAGTCGGACCAGCTGCTCCAAAAACAGCCTTGGGTCGGGTGCAAGCATTGCCGGCGGATCTGCTCCGCGAGAACGGCCATATGTTGATGTTGAGCTCAGCGGAGGAGCTCGTACCGCCTCCGCCGCCGCTGCTCTTTCTCTCTCTCTTCTTCTCCTTTTCTTTCTCTTTCTCTTTCTCTTTTTCCTTGTCCTTACTATCTTCTTGTTCGCTCTTCGCGCTCTTCTTCTCTTTATCTCCTTTCTTGAAAATATCTCTCCACCGCTTCGATGCGCCGAGAGAAGGCGTCGACGAATCCACCGCCGCCGAGGACGAAGATATCTTTGGCCCTAAGTCGGGCGGTGAAGGTTCGGGATTTTCCGGATCAGGTTCTGGATTCGGGTCGGGATGCTCCGTGTGGTTGTGGGGGAGGAGGTGGAGGGGGAGAAGGACGCCGTCGACGAAGAGCTCGTCGGCGGAGAGGAGGTTGGGCTGGGGAAAAGACGGGTTCCGGACCATCCAGAACTCGAAGTCCAGCGAGTTTGAATCAGGGCTGGTTCGTCTTCTTCCGGCGGTGGTCGGCGATGGAGTTTGGGCTCCCGGGATGACGATAGGGCTGTCCATTTCTAGAGAGAGAGAGAGAGAGAAGGAGGGAGGGGGTGTGGTGAGGGAAAGTTCTCTTCTTTGTGTTTTTGTTTTTGATTTTCTTAAGGAGAGAAGAGGAGTCAGGAGAGAGCTCTTCTTCCTCTTCAGGGGGATCAGGGGAAAAGTGACCCTACACAGCAAAATAAATAAATAATAAATTAAGGATAATTAACAAATATTGAGCAAGGGAGGAGAGAGAAAGGGAGCGGGGGGGAGGAGAGAGAGAGGTGGGTGTGGGGTCCACCGTGCATGTATGGAGCAATGTCATAGGTTAAGCGATCATTGGTGTAGTTTTAATGTAAAAGGATAATGTTGTTCTGATGAGTATCTGCTATATATATCTTCTCAAATCTCAAATATGATTCGAAAAAACGTTGTTGTTGTTGTCGGTTTTTTTTATATTCTTTTTGGCGTTGATAGTTACTTGCTAACCAAAATACAATTTTGCTAGTGGCATTGTGTGGGTGAGTTTGGTGTTTAGCAATTGATAAACTCATCCATATACTTTGATTTGATGAGAATTGCCAAGTTTTGTCTTACTAATAATTCGTTTAAGGTTGTGCATCAATTGCTAGAACGTAAATTCATCATCATTGTCATAATATATTTACTTACCGTTTATTATGATTAATCCCCGACCCCAGTCATATCACTAGCCAAAAAAATATCTTTTGTATAAATTTGAAGGTGTCTTGTTATATAATCTTTTACTTTATAGGCGAAAATTAAGGCAATATTTTGTCACTCAAAAGGCAAACTATCATGAATTGTACCCGTCCGAATAAATCCAATTGAGCCATTATGATAATATATGAGAAATTATGAGGATAATGATCATGATGTTAAATATCTTTGGCATTGTTCTATCTATATAGCTTAAAATTTTGCATGAATTTAATGGAATTCCACGTGTATAGGATTTTGTGTCATAACTTTCGTTTTTTAACTCTTTTACATGACAATTGATAGGAATTCAAGTGTAAAAAAGCGAAATACATCGAACTTAACCATGCCTTTGTGAATCTCAAGTTAATCAACAAGCAACCATAAATCTTGAAGCATACTTTGGACCACAAAATCTAAAATATCATTCATGCGCGTATATAAACTCCCCTAGTTAAAAACGTATCAATGGCTTGACCAATTTCAATTTTAATTCTCTTGGAATTCCATTGCATAACATAATTAAGAGAACACTTTCAATGTTTTTTTTTTCTTTCGCCCTTTTTCAACCAGATCTCCTCGATGGTTATCATCGGTAATGCACTTTTAAAATGAAAAAATATGCAAAAATAACACAATATATATACATATCCGAAGGTCTAAAATAGACTAACCAAAACTTTTCTTTTTTCAATCATTTTTGTATGTTTGTATTTGAAAAAAAAAATGCAAAAGAGGAAAGAGAGAGAGAGAGGTGGGCAGGGTGAGTTTGGTGTATTCGTGTCATAATTTAAATCATAATTCACAATTTATTATAATATAAAAATGATTTAGAATCATAATTTTAAATCTATAAACTAAAATAGAATGAGAATGATATCATGTCATTGTGTCATTGCATGTGGGATGACATACAAAAGTGGTCTCACTAACATTCATGGCGAGTGGAATGTCTTTCACTAGCGTTGACAATCTATATTTTATTACATCACCCATATACATTAGCATCCAATATCCCAACTGAATCTTAAGGGCGTCCCCATCATATTACCAAATAAAGGCATTACTATTACTCGAAATTGCCTTCTAATCCAAATTATATAAAATAAAAAAGAATGTTAAGTATCAATCCTAGCAATCGTCATCACTGTTTTTTTTTTTAATCAGTTGCCTATTAACACGTAAGATTGAACGAGACCTTATTAATTAAAAATTTGTGATGATTATTACATTTTATATAACACAATATGCTTAAAAAGTAATTTCGATTTAAAATATTATGTTTAATCGTTAGATTCATGTCATGATTCAAATCATAATTCGTAGTTCGTTACAGTATTTTCTTTCATAAAAAATACACGTAAATAAAAAATAATTATAAATTATGATTCTGAATCCATGAACTAAACATCCACGTCTCAAAATTCCTCAAAAACTATTGGCGCATACCGTTTTCTTTCGTCGGTAAAATGGAGAATTGGCCGTGAGTTTAATTTATATTGGCTTATTTGGAGAGTGCCGACCCTAACTAATTATTTGATATATTTTCCAAGGATATTAAAAATAAAATATTTCTTTTTGTTAAGTAGTTGACTTGTTTACTTGAGCTGGCCGGAGGCTGTAAAGTTGCGTTTGGTGGCACTTTTTATAATTCCTGACTAAACAAGATCTATATTTATCTATGTCGTTCTCTGCTTTATATCTATCCAAAGCAGGGAAAAGTCCCAACCATAAATTGACGACTCAAAAATATTGTGATGTGGAGAAATCAAATGTGAATAAATTATTAGTTTAGATGTGGGTTCCAACACGGGCAACACTAATGAATATCCACCATGCGATGGACATAAATTGTAGCATTTAAAAAAGGATCCCACGGTTGGATGATAAAAATGATGCAAAACCAAAGTTATTTTTTTTTCTTTTTAAATAAAAAATAGTGTAGAAGGCTCGATCGAGATTCAAGGCATTAGTGTGTTAAAGGGAGCCCGTACATGATGAGTAAATATTTAAATTAAGCTAAAACTACTTGCGTCATTAATCATTTCAAAAAGTAATAAATTTATAAACAGAAAATTCACCAAAAGGGTGGTCAATGTTATAGAATAATTCAGAATTATTATCGATTTATGTGTATTTTTTTTATGAAAAAAAATATTATAATAAGTTACGAATTATGATTCGAATAATGACACGAATTCTCGTATCAAATATCTTATAAATTAAATTTTTATAAGAATGTTCACTAAAAATCTAAGGAGACGTTTGATTAATGAATTAGAATCATTTTTTATTTATGTGTATTTTTTATGAGAAAAAATACTATAACAAACTATGAACTATAATTCAAATCAAAGTACGAATTACCTAACTAAATAACCCTTAAAACGAGAAATTATCCATTGGACTACCATCCTAATGGTAGGTCAATAAAATTGATTGTCCTGTGCAAAATGACAAATTAGGCCGTGGGCCCCACGCAAAATGGGGGGTCGATGATGATAATAGGTAAGTGGTTGTAGCTTGTAGGCTAGTAATGCCTGTAATGGTTGTGGTGAAGCCTTGTTTGGAATCTAAGAGAGAGATTGAGGGGAATGGTTGAGACTTGAGAGAGTGATTGAGATCGAAGATTTTCTTTTTCTTTTTTTTTTTCTCCTTTCTCCTTTTGTTAATGGAGTTTGTTTGCAGGCAAAATGATGAGCCATGTGCGAGCAAAAACAATATTACACCATCAAAGCAAATGGGCCCCAAACCCCAAACGGGGCCTTAGTTGATTGCAACTGCTTCTTTACCCTTATTGTAGCCTATTAGTTGTGTGCAAATGCAATATCTCTATCTCTTATCTCTGCTCTATCGAAATACCATGGAGGGCCTGCAAATTGGCCGGGCCCCACTTTATATATGTGATATGATAATGATTTTATTGCTAATTTCAATTTGATTGTCCTAAAAAAAAAAAAAATTAAATAATGTGTTATAATCTATGTCTGAGGACTAGACTATACAGGTCCTACTATGTGTATATTTTTTTTTATGAACTTGAAGCAAAATAATGCAAATGCCATCTCCACTAAATCTACAAGTACTCTTGAACTTATTTTGAGTCTGTTTGGTTCGCTGATTTGAGTTTTTAATTTGAATTTATATGTGATTTCATATGAGAATTTTATACTGTAATAAAAAAAATTAGATATGACTATTTTTAAAAAAATTTTATTATAACAAAATTTAAATTTTAAATTCAAATCGATAAAATAAACAAAATCAAACGCGTACTTGCTGTTGAAAATCCGCTTGCTACATAAAAAAAGGGGTAGTATGGAAAGGCGCGAATTATACGAAAGATTCCTTTTAAATTAAAAAAAAATATATATACGCACACGAAAGGTTGTAATGTTATGTTATTCTTTTCTTTATTGTAAAGTGAAACGGGGTTGAATTTGTACTTTTGTACATGTCATGCTAAAGGTCAAAAGTTAAGGACAAGGAAAGAAAAAAAAAAAAAAAACGAGTTAGGAGGGCCCTACGGTTTTATTTTCTTCGTTTTAAAATAAGGCGCCTATGCCTATAACATTTTTTTAACCGTTTAACTGGGAAGATTTTCTTTACTCACCCGCGGTCAACCAGCTTTTAAAAGTATACATAGAGCTTGTTCTTTTTATATTTTTGAGTTAGGTAATTTGAGTGTAGATTTTAAATTGAATTTAAATTATAATTTAAATTATAATTATAATTTGAGATTGTATTTAATTGTGTACATTTGAGTTATGGTTTGAGATAAAATTTTTTTTAAGTTTGTGTTTAAGTGAGTCAAAACTTGAATTTGTATTTATATATTATTTTAATGAAAACTCAATGCTGATGGAAAATTTTAATAGGGTATATGGGTGGGGTTTTATTCGTCTTTTCATTGTCAACGCATAGAAAAAAAAATCATCTCAATCATAATTAAAATGAAAAAGTTATAGTATTTTTAAGAATAGAAAAAATATTGTTAATTAATTTGAGTTCGAGTTTCTGAACTAAGTTGAAGGATAAACTTGAACTCGAGTTTTAGTCCCAAACTCGAGTTCAAACTTAAAAAAACATAAACTCGAATAAAGTTGTAACTCGAGTTACTTTTTTTAAGTTTTTCACTCAAAACACCCCAGCCAAACAACCCTATATATATTTGGCTAAATAAGTATAGAGATGTCTTAACAGAACACACAAATCTCAGTAAATTCTTTAAGTCCAACACTCGTATAAGTCTAGTAACCCCGTTCACTTCACTGATTCGAGTTTAGAATTCGAGTTGAGATGTGATTTTATGTGAGAGCTTTTTACTATAGCAAAAAAGTTAGATGTGATTGTTTGTGAGAGCTTTTTACTATAGAAAAACTCGAATTCTAAACTCGAATCAGCGAAGTGAACGAGGCAATTTTCTTGTTTTCCTATACAATATTTATATCAATCAATCTCAAAAGTTTAAGCTATTAGGAGGTGAGTCAATAATAATTTTATACTTTAACACTCTTCCTCACATGTAGACTGGACAATGAGCAATCGTTTGGATAAATTAATTGAAAAGCCCAACACGTAAATATTTAAGCCCAAAATATATTAAAAACTCAACATATGATGACAATTTAAATGGAGACAAATAGTGCAATTACAGAGGTTTGAATTCAAGTCCTCCCACTCTGATACCATGTTAATTTATAAATCTATTCTAAAAACTTAAGCTATTGAGTGGTAGACCAACAATAATTTTATACTTTAATAAGTGTGTTTGACATTAAATTTGTTTAAGTATAATACTCATTATTATATATATTGAACTATATTTTACAAACGTTATATTTAAGTGAATCGAATGTTACACAAACGAAAGAACGACGTGCAATGATAATATGGAAAAAGTTACATTCCGGATTTAAGACAATTCATGAAATCTTAGAACTCAATAGTATTTTTCATCAATCCAAAATTCATATATCAAATCTTATACTCATATATATATATATATATTTGGGAGGAATTGTACTTATCATTATCTTAGGGTCCGTTTACTTCGCTGATTCGAGTTTGTAATTCGAGTTGAGATGTGATTTTGTGTGAGAGCTTTTTACTGTAGCAAAAAAGTTAGATGTGACTGTTTCTGAGAGCTTTTTACTGTAACAAAACTCGAATCAGCGAAATGAACGGGCCTTAAGTATCTCGAGTCCAACAATCCTTATCTCTGGCCGAGAGTTTTGAGACCTCGAGAAACTCCTGTTTTTAAAATCCAAGTTCCATAAGCTGTGATGTTTCGGACCACTTGGCTCATAGCACTATGTCTCGAATTTCCCAAATTTTCTCTTCCTCGTTCGTTGCACACTTGACTCTGATACTTGTAGTCGTAGATTCCCATACATTTATCTTCTATTCTATACCTTCCATATGTTTTCGTAACCCAACATATTTCAGTTCAACGGATTTAATAATTTATAAATTGAATCAAGGAATAATTGAAAATCCTTTCCCAAAAAATAATAATAATAATAAAATTAGGGTGACACAATGGATCAGTACACAAGAACAGACGGGCAAATAAATGGTATGAGAGTACACGTGGTCCTCTTATTAAGTTGCATAATTATGAGATTAGAATGCGAATCCTCTTAGCAACTAATGTCTTGTTCATTTTACAGATTTGAGTTTTTAATTTGAGTTGAGATGTGCCATTTTATAATAACTTTTTATTGTAACAGAAAAAGTTATATGTGACATTTTCTGAAAGCTTTTTACTGTAAAAACTTAAAACTGAAAACTCGAATCGGTGAAATGAACAAGACCTTAGGGGTTATTTGGTTAGGAGATTCGTATCCCGATTCGAATAATAGTTTATGATTCGTTACAATATTTTTTCTCATAAAAAATATACATAAATAAAAAATAATTATAATCTCATAATTTTAATCTATGAACTAAACGTCTCCTCAATAAAAAAAAAAAAGAAGAAAAAGAAAAAAAGAACAAATAGAAAGAGGGAAGAAGAGAACGCGGGCGGGTACAGAAAGCATGTGATCCGGGGGGACTTTTTTTATTTTTTATTTTTATTTTTTTTTGACATGAAACTGAAAGTTCAGTGTAGAAAAGAAGAAAAGAAAAGGAAGTGATGTCAGCTGTCTTCTGGTGTGAAGAAAGAAAGTAGTACTGCTTTTTTGGTTTCATCAGAGCGAGCGTTGTTGCTTTTCACACAGCCCCAACACAAAGCCAAATCCGTTTACCATGGAAAAGAAAAACCATGGCCAAAAAGAGCAAAATTCGATCTACCAAAGATTCTGCTCCTTTTTTTTCTTCTTTTTAAATTTTTTTTTGTTTTTTTTTTCAACTATCACTTTACATTTGTCACGGAGATTCGGGTGTTTGTAATATGGACCCAACTTAAAACAGATTTCGCAATGATGTCAGGTCGTCTTTGTAACTTATCATCGTCTGTCAATGGGGCTTGATAATTCAGTGCAGAAGATAACATGACACTGATTACTGATCGAAAAGTCATTGAAGCTTTATTTATTTATCTGCTTTTAAGGTTATCAGGCCAATTACCGAAATTTTCTTTGTTCTCGTCATCAATTCCAGAGGTCCTCAAGAGATGGATGACAGTTTTAGTTGAGCATTGTTATTTTATACGGTGATGTGAATATAAAAAGTAGAATTAGCTTAATCTGATGATAAAAGTAGGATTAGCTTTAATATGGTGATAAAGTAGAATTAGCTTAATATGATGATAAAAGTAGAATTAGCATGATATGATGATAAAAGATGTGTTGGACTCCACGCAATCATGTGGCAAACTTTATACTTGTGTTGTAATTTTATTACAAAGGCCAGAGGGTGATTAATCACACGTTTATTATAGTTTTAGGTGTAAAGAGAATAAATAGCATGTTTCTTCTAGTTTTAGGTGCAAAATAACGTATTCAGGAACCGTTTAGTATATAAGTTCAAACTGGCATTCAAATTTTATGATTTTTAAAATTTAAATTTTTTATAAGAAAAAAATACTGTAACAAAATTAAAATTATGAATTTACAAAGTAGCAAAACCCATGTACCAAACATACACCTCATGACCAAATTGATCCATCCTATCGGAATGATATATTTAGTAGCTAGTTATTGCGCATTAGAAAGACAAAAAAAAAATCAAGTCATCATTATCCTGTAACAAAGTGAATGCAAGGAATCAGCAAAAAACTTCCACTTTGAATCTCCAGTGAAATTCTAGTTTTATTAAATATTATTTGGCATTGTGACATTTCGCAAAAATCCTGACGGGTAGTAACCGACACTTCAAAGTTCAAACCCACTCAGAATGAGTTCATGCTAAACATATCAACAGAAAGAAAACCATCTCACATATATAATCTTCTAGCTCAATTCAGGACTCGGTCAAATACTTGGCAAGACAATGGTGCCAATGATTCAGAAAGTATTTAATCGATTTCTCTGGATTTATGAATCTTGCACCAATAGAGGAACCCAAAAATCCCATTCCTAGACTTGAGCACCAAGCTCCAAGAGTAGAGTATGATTCACTGCATTTGATGATGGGCCAACAAATTGAATAGGACCTGCAATGAGAAGTTTGGGAGTCAAAAAATTTGTAATAGAAAATAGAGCTGGAGTAGAACTTTCAAGCAAATAAACTATAAAAATATCCGCATTCAACTATTGCAATAAAAGATTGTAGCAAATGGAAAAGTAAGTAGTACATCCTGTAAATGATAGGCGAATCCTTATCACATAAAATCTTAAAAGCAGATACATTTCCGTTTAGTTCGTTGATTCTAGTTGAGATGTGACTTTATGTGAGTTTTTTACTGTAGTAAAAATATTAGATGTGACTGTTTCAGAAAGCTTTTTATTGTAGCAAAACTAGAATTTTAAACTTAAATCGGTGAAAAGAATAGAGCCTTGGCAACTATTAAACAAGATTCATCACTAACCAGGGCTGATGTAACGATTCTTGAGGGCCCACTCGTCACGCAAGGATGCAAATTTCTTAAATGGAGCACCTGAAATTTATTGCCGAAAATCAGAAACAGTTTTGCTGTCAGTTAATTGATTAATGAGCAATATTTGAAGAGCTGGCAACCTAATAAAATATAAGAGGATGTTTGGTACCTAAATTCGTTCTCTGATTCAAATCATGGTTCGTAGTTACAATATTTTCTCTCACAAAAAATACATGTAAATAAAAAATAGTTCTAATCACATAGTTCTAATCCATGAACCAAACGTCTCCTTATATATGCCAACCGCTAGCCATTGCCTTCAAGAAATGTAAAGTGCGCTAATAGAAATACCATAACTAAGGTCATTACCTTCGAGCTCGACCATTGCCTTCTTGATCACAGGCTTGAACTTACCTAAAAGACATTGAATTTTCATAAATATCGAATAGTTTAAAAGAAGAAACAAAGAAGGGAAGTAAACTGAAAGATCATAATGTTGCTCCAAAGACAATTCTGTAAAACTCGTATGCGATGTTTGTTTATGCTCCAAGACAATTCTGTAAACTTGTATGCAATGTTTGTTTAAAGGGTTTTGCATGGTTCAAACCATGGTTTTTGGTTCCATTACAGTGGTTTTTTGTCACAAAAAATTTGAATTTCAAAAGTTAAAATCATGAACCATGGTTTGAACTCATGAACCAAACGAACCCTAATGGATAAACAATGAGATTGTATAATCTGAATTACCAAACGTGATACGTCACATCATAATCATAATGAATAAACAAAGAGAGGTTATAATACCATGTCTTCTCTCCACGTCCATTAGCGCGGTCAAAGCTGTCCCACCAACTGTCCACTCTTCAACACGAGCTGCCAAATTTCCTACCTGGATTCATTACAAAAAGCACATAAAGAGAGAAACATTCTGTTGATCTTCAAGGATAAGAAAAATTACAAAATAAATGACTAAACATCATCGTGGAAAGATTGACAACGAGCCAAGTAAATAAGGTTCAAAAGAGAGTGAAAGAAAGAGATACAAACTGATGATATCAACCCAGTTTTTCCGCTACGAAGGAGAGCTCCTGCAGCATAACCCAATGCGTAACAATAGGTAGAATCAAAATTAGTTGGTAAACCACATCTTCCTTCATACCTGATATTTAAAGATTACATTGATGGGTCAAATCCTACTGCCAGCAATGCCATTCTTTTAAAAAGTTTTCTTGCATTTATCCAATAATCACGAGGTGTATGCAAACACACAACATTGGCTACCCGTTACCATAAAAGTAATGGTAATCAACAATGACCCTGACGCCAAATCCCTAATGAGCATGCTGTACAGATGTCCACACAATAACTTTCAAAGACAAAATGTGGCGTGATATGAAAACTGAAACTTCTTAATCAAAATGATAATATCTAAAAAGGCTAATAACCCATTTGGTTAATAGGTTTGAACAAAAATTTTGAACAGACATTTAAATTTGTTTAAATTTTGAAGAGAGAAAATATTGTAGCAAAAAGAAACAAACAAAGGCCAAGGCATTAAGTACCCGAAAAAGTGAGATTGTCCTTTAAATTCGCCTTTGTATGCACCAGCTTGCTTCCTCTTCTCCAATTCAGTTTCAACCATTTGAATAAGCATCTTCTCTGTTTCTATTTTGGCAACCTAATGGACAAGAGTAAATAACATAAGCATTGCTGACCATAAGATAGGCGAGAATCAAATAGTGGCATGATAACTCAAAACACATACCTGGACATTTCCATGAGGATCTCTTTCAAGCATCAACTGCTCTTGGATGGCTTGAGGTAAAAATTCGAAAAGCTTTAGAGACTGTTCTGCAAGTTTCTTTTTCCATAAACCACCTTCATCAACAATGTCGTGGGCCAGAATTTCATTCAGTTCTGAGATAAGCTGCTGCACCTGCGAGTAGCAAAGTTACAAAAAGTACATGTCAATCAACATAGTCAAGTGGGTCCATGTCTGTGAAGTAGAAGTAAATACGATGTTGGAGCATATAAAAACAAGAGGAAATCATTGACATAGCAGCTTCACTAATCAGAAATATACCTCAGGAATGAAATCAATTAGACCTTCTGGGACAAGTATGACACCATAGTTATAACCAAGCTCAGAACGTTTACTGACTATATCAACAATGTAATCTGTAACATTTTTCAGTGTCAGCTTCTTCTGGGCAACCTGCATCAAAGAAATATACTCGTCGCATTATTATGTGTTTCAAAAACTGCGATACCATGTGCCATAAGGTATTTCATAGTAACTACAAAACATCTAACCAACTTCTAATCAATAAAGCAGTTTCAACCAAATGCTGGACATCCTTGAATATCACCACGGAGAAGAGATATGAAGGGCAAGGTCATAAGACTTATCTTGTCAGGTTTGTTCTTTTCACTTCAACAGTTGATTGTGGCTAGCAACTAAATCTAACTTAGACATGCAGATAGAATGAGCAAACAGAAAAAATAAAAATTATACTGTACAGGGTTCGGTTTATGGTAACATCCAAACTGTAAAATAAAAATTATACTGTTTAGTGCCTTTTACACTTGTTTAGAAGATTAACCAAACTGAACTGTTCAAAGCAACACCCGACATCATCAAAAAGCTATATTGATTAGTGTTGAGAGTCACAATGTCACATGAACTATTGATCACAACCCAGGATGTCTAAACACCATACAAAGAGAAAATCTACTTTCTCATATCATAATCATAAGTAGCCAGACAATGCAAGGTCTATCATTTGAAGGTACCTCTTCTCCAATAATTGTAATGTTTGGATGTGTTTGTAAAGCACATTCAAGCGTTATATGTGAAGCCGCACGCCCCATAAGCCGCACAACTGTGAAACAGGCACGTTAAACTATACCCACCAAATAGGCTTAAGAAATGAGCCAAGGAGAGAACATACACTTTTCACGAAACACGTTAATGCTCCACGACTTTTAACCAACATACTTAGGACTTACAGTGATAATATTTTCCAGTTGATCTGGCATCTATCATGACATTTCCAATCATTTCCGCATAGATCTGCATAAGATTTAGAGCATCATAATATCTTTAGTTTCCCATTTAATTTTGCATGGTATATGCAAAGAACTTTTGAAATATGAGGATTTCACAAGTAGAATTCCAATTATAGTTGCAATCACCTTGCAAGCAGTATCAAATCCAAAACTTGCAGGAACCTCTTTGCATTTCAAGTCACCATCAATGGTTTTGGGACACCCAATCACTCGAGTTTTGATATTCTTTCCCCTGATTGAGCAAAAAAATAATAAAATAAAATAAAATAAAATATATGTTAACAGGACACTCGAAACAGTTATATGAAAAGAACATTGACTAGTGAATGAACATTAAACAAGTGAATAAATAACAGAGGGATCCAATGGACGTATAAGTAAAGCCAGCTACAGTTTCCTCTCACAAGCAGAATTTTCTTGAAAAAGTTAGGAATGTTATACCTGAATTTTTCAGCAAGGAGGCAAGCGTTCGTGTTCGAGTCATCCCCACCGATAACAACGAGTCCATCCAAATCAAGCTTTAGTGCGGTTTCTTCAGCTTGTTTGAACTAAACGCGATATACATTAAACAATTAATAATAGCATGCATAAATTTCATAGGAAAGCTGTTCATATGCAAAAATAAGTCACCTGCTCTGGAGTTTCAATCTTGTCTCTTCCACTGCAAATCATATCAAAACCACCCTGATCAAAGGAAATTTCACTCGCGTCAGTTATCAACTTGGTTAAAATTCATGCAAGTATGAACTATATATGACTGAGATGGATGTACGATATATTCCAAGCTTAGACTATATGCAACATAGGTTTTACAGATGCCCAGACGTACATGATTCATGAACCTATAATTGAATTGAGATAGTTTAAGCTCGCAGCAAAAGACACACCATATTCGAAAGTTCTCACCTGGTTTCTGTAGGGGTAAATATATTCTGATGTCAGTTCCACGTATTTGCACTTCATGATTCCAGCAGGCCCTCCACGGAATCCGTACAATGTGCTACCTTTAGCACGGTCCTGCAAGTAGTCTACCACGACAAAACAGAAGCAACTTAACTTTCTTTGTACAGTAAATTCCAATGGAAATTGAATTGTGATCTGATAACAAAGATCCTCACCGTAAATCCCAGAAATGACATTGTGCCCTCCAGGTGCTTGGCCTCCAGACAAAACGACACCGATCTTCAACTTCTGCTGGTTGGCATCGGAATCGCTCGGCACCAACTTTGCAGACGGCTGGCCGAAAAGATTCGGGAATAGCTTTGCGATTTCATCTGAAAGTAGCACAAGAAATTCAATCACATACGAAAAACCAAACACCCCTTGCTTCCAGTTTGATTAGCAAAGAAACGAAACAGGAAAATGAGAGTGAGTGTAAAAGTATCAAACTTTACAAATAAAAAGAGAGAACAAAAACGAAAAGAAAAATGTCCAAAAAAAAAACCTAACTTGAAACTAGAACGACTTTCTCGCTAAACCGAAAGGCGAAAACTTAAAATTCCGGTTCTTGTTTCCAACATTTTCCCGCGATATTCATAGTAACCAAACAGAACAAAGATCGAAGCTTTCGTATCAGATCGAAATGCAGTAAATCAAATAAATCGACGAAAGTTCGTGGATCCGAGAGGAAAAGAGAAAAAGAAAGTGACCTGGATTGCCGGCAGCGGAGCTGGGGGGACCGTCGACGATCTTGAAGGGGTTTATGAGCACAGCAGGAAGGGGGAGCGCGTGGTCGATACGACTCGCCTGGACCTCGCTGTACACGGAGGAAACACGGCCGGTCGCCGGCGACGGAGACTTTCCGGCGAGCAAATCGCCGTTGGCAACCAATGCGGCAGACATGTTTAGCCCTAAAGCACACTCTTAGACGGACTCGGAGACTCGGGAGTAAAAAAAATCGGACTTTTTCTCACTCGGACAGTGGCCTATATATACCTGCGGCGGAAAAGGGTAACAGTGTCTTTTAAACCTTGGATTTGGTAAGATACTTGCAATTTGCAAAATGGATTCCCAGGGTATTTTCGGAATAATGAAAAAGTTGTGATCTGACGGACGGCCTAGATCACGGATTGAGGTGGTACGTAGAAAGTTAGGGTGGTCTAAGTTGTAGAGGATGATGCGTAGTTTTCAAGTTACCTATACCTAACCTTGTGGTGGTTGGCGGGGCCTCAGATTTGTTGGTGAAATGAACACGGGAAGAAGGGCATATTCGATATTCCAATGTTTTAGTTCGGTACCAGCCTATTAGGTATGGCATTTGTATGGAGCCGTTTGGTTACGAGCATCAACCGCCCATTTGAGGTACATAGCCCGGTCCATATGCTGTTGGTTGGGCATCCTCTGAAAGTGAAGCCGAGTTTAAGCCCATAATTTTAGGAAGTTTAGGCCCATTTTACTTGATATCTGCGATAGCGACTCTACAGGTAATTCAAGAAAGAGGAAAAAAAAAAAAAAAAACGGGAGAAGGAAGTAAAACATTTATTTTTTTTATGTACAAAGAAATTAGCAGAAACTTTTAATAAACTAGTAAAGTGTGACCAAGTGTGATAAATTCGGAATTTACTCAGACTTATTCCGTGACTAAATTTAATAAATTCAGGATTTACTATATTTATCATATGATAAAATTTGATAAATTTGTGATTTACATGTTTACTCCCACAAAACCTACGTTATATATTTTATCAATATTGATTATTTTACATAATATATTGCTAATAATCTCTCTCTCTCTCTCTCTCTTTTTTTTTTTTTTTTTTTTTTACATGCAGTGTTGTGGAGTTTGTGTGAGCAAAAAAGAAATAAGTAACCTATGTGCTCTAATTCATATATCCTTTGAATTTTGAAAATGATTCATTTCACCTTTAAATTATGTAAAGTTGTTCAAAGTATTCTTTGTAATGTTACAGATACTCCCACAATTAAATTATTGATTTTGTGTCGAGTTGTCTCCAAATTATCATTTGTTATGTATTTTAAATAGAGGGAGTTATTTTGAACAAGTGCATATATATAATTTAAGGAGTCAAAAGAAGGAGAGATATGTTGAATTAGGATACATGGTTAATGGACATGGATTTTGAACGAAGTTGGTTGTTGAATGCACATGTTTTGCTATCAACTCATCTCAAAAGAATGGCCCCTAATTTGATCACTTTTAAAAGGAAATTAAACATGATAGCGTGATATTGGCTGGTTTTTCTGGCCAAATGTCTCCCCCAATCTCCATCCATCCCCACCAGATCTTTATTAGGCCTCAGCCTTCTACTATCTTTAGGATCAAGAATGAACATCTACGCTGAATCTGGTCGATAAATGGAAAGGAAAAAAAGAAAAGGCCATCGGCTGATATATCCTAATGAATTACGTGCTTGATCATATAAAGAGGGCCTTATTCTATAAATCTAGTTCTAAAGCAAGAATGGACTATGGCTTAGTTTGATATTGTTTTTTCCTCCTAAAATCGAGAAGTTAATTTTAATGTTTGGTATATTTATTTAAAAGTGCTTTTTGAAGAATGTTTTAAGAATCTACAGCTAAAATCAGAAGCAGCCTAAAGACAATTTTATCATTTAGATTGTGCAGGAATCATCATAGTATAATTAATGAAACTTTCATAATATCTATAATACCCCTAATGAAATTTAAAATTTATAATCTTCCCAATCTAAAATTCAAAGTCGTAATATAATATAATATAGTATAATATAATAGTAATATTGTAATAAATAATATCATAATTATATTAATAACTATAATATTATTATTTTATCATATAATATGATATTATAATAATATTATAATTATTTTAATAATATAATATTACTATTATAATATAATTATAATTATAATATCATATTGTAATTATTATTTTATAATATATTATATATTATATTGTATTGATATAATTATATTTATTATATTAATAATAATAT